AATTTTATTGGGGTGAGAGGGGAAGAGATGGTCCTCCAAATGCGCAGGAGCTGGGAACTAAGTCCATAGCTCTCAAGTAGGTAGCATGGACCCATCTACTTGAACCATCCCCAGCAGCTTCTCAAGGTACCAATTAGCAGGAAGCTGGAATCAGGAGTGGGCCCAGGAACTATCATATGGACCCATACCCCAGTCAACTTTTTAATTCACTTTTTAAATTCAATTTTGATGAAGTGGAATCCTAATAAACACATTGTAGTACATCTATTTTATTTTAAACCTTTATATTGTGAAATTTTTCTCTTGGCAATAAGTTTTTCATTTATATATATATATATATATTTTTTTTTTTGGTGAAACAAGATTTAGAAAGCAGTAGAGAAATATCTAATTGCCAGAGCCACTTCTGTTTTTTCCATTTCCCAAGAAATCTGTGCAGTGTTGGTGGCCATTACATGGGGAGGATGAGCCAGGGATGACTGATCATTAGTTTGGATGATTGGTAACCAATGCATTGGTGAGGGATCTGGCAGAAGGACTGGACTGGAGTTGGGTGCTGATCACAAAGTTCTGACTGTTGAGCCTGCAGTATTTAGGGGTCGTTGGCCAGCCTTGGCCCATTACTCAAGCCAGCTGTCTCTTTCCAACTCATCTGTTTCCTTTGCCTGTTTGTTTAAAATGGTATTTCAGGGTGTTACTCTCCAGTGGTTCTACAGCTGGGGGTGAGCCAAGCCAGGAGCTAAGAATTCCATCCAGGTCTTCCACAAGGGTGACAAGGGCCCAATGGGCCATGATCTGCTGCCTTCCCAGGCACATTAGCAGGGACCTGGGTCATAAGTTTAGAAGCTGGATCCCAAACCAGCACTGCTGTTGCGAGTGGCAGCTTAACCCCATACGCCACAATGTCAGCCCCATCACTTGCCTTTTAAAGGTATCACTACTATACACTACTTGCATGTTCTTCGTGTGTACACTCAGACTGGATTTTTTGCTATTCAAACACTTTGGGAGACCAATTATATTTTAAGGATGTTTATTGCTGACTGTTGTAGTTAAAGAAAAAACACCTAAGATATAGAACCCCTCTTGAAGCACTCTTTGAATTCTGCATTCTGCTTTTATCCCCAAGGATGGGGCTGCCTGGTAATTACTTCCCCAGGTCTTGCTGGTCACGGCCCTAGTGAGAGAGATATTGTCTCCAAGCCCTGCGCAAACCCCAGGAGTAGCCTATACTGGGTGTGATAGGTGTCTCTCAGCACCTTTGGTAATTGCATCTAGACCGGTATGAGTCATCCATTAAGGTCAACTTCCCAAGTCCTGTTTGCATCCAGGAAAGTGTTTTTGGGCAGCTGGAAAGACTAGTCTTGGAGTTGTTGGCCGGCACCATGGCTCACTTGGCTAATCCTCAGCCTGCGGCGCCGGCACACCGGGTTCTAGTCCCAGTTGGGGTGCCAGATTCTGTCCTGGTTGCCCCTCTTCCAGGCCAGCTCTCTGCTGTGGCCCAGGAGGGCAGTGGAGGATGGCCCAAGTGCTTGGGCTCTGCACCCCATGGGAGACCAGGAGGAAGCACCTGGCTCCTGGCTTCGGATCGGTGCAGCGTGCTGGGGGTGAACCACCAGAAGGAAGACCTTTCTCTCTCTCTCTCTCTCTCTCTCTCTCTTACTGTCTAACTCTGCCTGTCCAAACAAACAAACTAACTAGTCTTGGAGTTGTGGAGAGAGGTGTAGGGTGGAATTACACAGATTCAGTGATGATATTGTACAAGACAGCATGTAGATTGTTTCAGAGACAAACAAGAATTTCAGTGTTCCCCCCCCCCCCCCCCCCCGGATCCTGGATATGTGAGAAGAAAAAAATTGTAAAGGGAGTTGAGTTGTCTGCAAAAATAGATTAGTGTCTACAAAAGTCCACAAAGAACTTTGCAAGGAAGGGAGCCACTGATATCATAAAGGAGTCAAACTTTTGCTGGTCTAGGAAGTTTGGCTATGTCGGCAGGAGGGGGTTGTATGGGAGCTTTTAAGGAGAGGAAACTTGTGTTGCGAGGAATGGCTGGTTCTAGGTCTAGGGTTAAGTAAATTGGAGGTGTGCTCAAGATACAGAAGGATGGAGCTTGTCAAAAGACAAGGAGCCAGCCTGGCCAAGGCTGGAACAATTTGGCAATGAAATTAATCATGTGGCATTGGGTTGCAACCAGAAATTAAAAATAAATACCTATGAGACCATTCTGATATAAATAAATGATTAAATAAGTAAACAGGAGCTGGCACTCTTAGTAGGTTAAGCTTCTGCCTGCAGTGCCAGCTTTCTATATGAGTGCTGGCTGCTCCACTTCCTATCTAGCTCCCTGCTGATGTGCCTGGGAGTGTAGTGGAAATGGCCTGCTTCTGGTGATTTGAGACTTTCCAGTGGCAATCCTGAGTACCGCTTCTTTTGGCAAAGTGATCTTTGGAGTATCCTCATTAAGCAACATTCCATTGAAATGAACTAGCAGTTCTTCTGGAGATGTGACGTTCTGTGTAACTTTTAGACCAAAAATAGCATATACAGTAGCATCCTTGAATGACAGGTATTGTGGTACAAGTGCATCCATTGAGCTCTCCTTGGGTTCTCAAAAAGAAAACAGATTTAAATAAAGATATGTTAGAATTTGCTGCCTACCTTTTAAGTTACAGTAAATTTTGAAACTAAGCGATGTATTAGATCTGTCTTTGTTTTGCCAAATAAATGAGTAGATGAGAAATTATTCTGTTTTTCCTCTTGGATAAGCATGATCTGGTGAACATTTGTGGTTATATTTAAGGTGTGTTACATATAACTTGCTCTTACATGTGTGCAAGTATCTTTTATAAAGGTCATTAAAGTGGTAATAAAAAGGCACTCCTGTGATTCAAGAACCCACTTTAGATAGTAAAATAATCTGCCCCACTCACTTTGTAAAGTCACTGTTTGCCAAATTGCTTTTTTTGGTTTTAGCACACTTGGCCAATGTAGGATTAATGAATGTAAGAATTGTAGAACTGATCGGCATAGTCTCCCTACACCAGGAGACCTGTTACTGTTATATAGATGATGGGTTGCTGGCATGCAGGAGCTCTGAGAAATTCTTCACCAGTGTGGGCAATTACCAAGATAGCTCTACATTTTTCAGTGGGCAGTGGGGATTGACCAATGATTCCACTCCTTATTTGTAAAGTACATTGGGTTGGGTAGGCTCAGCCAGGGTGGTGACCTGGTGGCTACAGAGTCCTAGGTACTACCAGGGCAAGCTTCAAGAGAATTTGAACACATGACATGTTGTATGTGTGGGCCTGTACCCTAAGGATGGTGTGCTCCTAAAATAGGAAGAGAAGCCTTTTTTTCTCCAATGTCACTGCTGAACAAAACTGTGCGGCAGTTACTAGGGTGTTTCCTGACATACTTGGAAAAGAACATAAGCAATACTTCTTCACCCATATTCAGTATCCAACTCGAGAATAATTTCTCTTGTACTTCCCCAAAGTATTTTTAGATCTGTTACAAATCTAGTGTAGCCCCACTTCTGTTTCAAATTACCCCTCCTAATTAACATTACAATCCAGTTTGAGAGCCCAGGGAATCTCAGGTGTAATTCTAATCTGGTGTTTCTGCCATGTCTCTCTTTGGGTAAATATTTACTGTATTTTTTTATTTCCTCATATTTAAATAATGTCAGAAAAATTAACACAGTTCACAGGGGAAAATCTGATTTTTAATATCACACGTTACTTTTTTTTTTTTTTTTTTTTTTTGACAGGCAGAGTGGACAGTGAGAGAGAGACAGAGAGAAAGGTCTTCCTTTTGCTGTTGGTTCACCCTCCAATGGCTGCCGCGGCCGGCGCACCGCGCTGATCCGAAGCCAGGAGCCAGGTGCTTCTCCTGGTTTCCCATGG